TAAACTTTAACTATCATCTTTTTAAACATATAAACTTTAACTATCATCTTTTTAAACGTATAAATTGTTTTAGAAATGTTTATGGTGATATCAAGACGATTCATAATCCTGTTCCCTGAACTACAACACAGCTCCTTCAGACCAGTTCTAAATGGAGGTTTTACAAACATTTACATTCCTTTAAGTTATATTGACTCCTTTTTTTTATATTTGTTTTTTATAAATTTTAATTGAATATTTGGGCTAATATTTTTATGAGCTTTATACATGACGTAAAATACTATATTCAATCAAATCATAACATTTTAATAATTTCAATTGATGAAATAATGTATTTGTTGGGTGACCATAGCACTTCATACTAATAATAATTCTTATAGTTCTTTTATTAATAAAAATAGGATTTGTAATTGTTTTGCTTTTTCCCAAACGTCATTACAATAGATTAAATATGGAACAATCATTACATTTTACAATTTATACAAAGCTTTGTCATTCAAAAACTTTTACTTTATACAGTAATGCAATTGATTATTTTTATTTTTAAGTATTTTACATGAGATTTCCACGTCAGCTTCTCATCAATAACGAGACCCAAAAATTTTATTTCATTAACAACAAATTTAAATGCTGTCAATTTTAAAGTTGTTGTTTGAAGTTAAAACTATTAATATTGACAAAGTTGAGAATTTTATGTTTATTTGACAGTGATTTCAATTTTTTTGAAGGCTAAATACAAATAAAAGGTGAACATTAATTTATTTTTATAGTTTGTAGTTTTTCTGAGGCTTTTATATCGTTTATATCGATATCGAATTATATCGTTATCGACCAAAATTAAGAAATATATCGTGATAAAAGTTTTGGCTATATCGTCCAGCCCTGGAAAAGGACAAGATTTTTACATTAATAGTAAAAAAACAAAAAACAAAAGTTTTATATTTGAATGTTTATTGTTTAAAAATATTTAGATGTTTTGAACTAGTAAATGGTTTCATGCTGTTAACCACAGGAAGTTGCACATCTCACAAACCACAGGAAGTTGCACATCTCACAAACCACAGGAAGTTGCACATCTCACAAACCTATAGTGTGGTTCTGTGGATGTTGTTTTGGACTGAGCTGAACTATTTGTTTCAAAATTTGATGAAGCAAACACGGCAGATCAACTTTAAAATTGATTAGGAATGTGCGATATAAACGATACACGGTAGAAACGATAGCTCTGTCTTCTGCCGGCTAACCGCAGTAACGCTGTGTCTGAAGTAAAATCAGAGTTGTCAGTTTAATCGTTACTTTTTATTAGTTGAAAACTGTGCAGTGGCGTTAAAGTATTTTCTTCGAGGGCTAAGTAGCGAAGCTACAAGGTAGCTACAGCCGGCTTGCCGTAGTGTTGCCGTATTCGGACGCATGCGCAAAACGCTGTGTTCCGTTGAAAGTTGTTTTTTCCCGTTGAAAGTTAAAGTAAGCGTCGGGTCATCTTTAGAGAAACCTGCTCTCTGATCTGTGAACAGAACGCTGTGTTGTGTGATTTTACTGCGAGACCCTCTGGTCACAGACTCATTTTGTGTCAGCTCCATTAAAGCTGAAGGTGTCGCCCACTAGAGGTTTGGAGGGTGAAGTGTTTCAGTTGCTGCTCTGTTGCTGTTCATTTCTTAAGTAAGACTGGAAACTGTTAAGCGTTAACATATTCTTCTGTTTAAAACATACGGCTAAAACTACATTTGATATCTTTTGCACTACAAGAAATAAGCCTAATACTTGATTTGTTTATTATTTTAAAATTCTCTGGACCTAGTAGTGGAATTTTCTTAATTCAAAATATATGATGGCAAAAGGACACCCTATGCTTTTTTTTTTTTAGCAAGTTTTATACC